TTCTACCCCAAGAGAGTCCCGATACCCGAGCAAAAGTACCTTCAAACTACGGACGAGATTTCAAATGACACTTGCAAATCCACGTACCCGCGGCCAGGGGGCGCTCGCTGCCATCAAGAATCACAAGGACTGGTACGCGCACCAGGAACTCGTCAAGGCGCGGGATGTGCACGTCAAGAACAACCCGTCCCTCGGAGACAACGCCGTCAACAACCGCGAAGCCGCGCGCTTCGTCTCCGCCTCAACGCCATTTGCCGGCAAGGCCCTCGATGTCCGTGTCGACGGCACGTACGCCACCGCCCTCTCCTCCGACACCCTCCAGGACGAGCTCCAGCGGAAGCTCGGCCTTTGGCTCTCCGTGGCCCACGTGGCGCTTCCCACCCTTCGGGTCGCGCTCGAGCGGGGCATGCCAGTCGATTTCTTCGGCGACTACCTTTACAACAAGGCCCACCACCGGCGGCCCCACGACGGCGTCCTCGCCGCCTGGGCGGACGCGATGCGCGCCCCGGCCAACGCGCCGGTCGTGCACGGTGACAAGGAGAAACCAGAGAGCTCACCCGGCAGTACAACGAGGGGTACAAGGTCGACCTCGCGGAACCCCACGCTGGCCCGGGAGGATGCGATGAGGTGAATGAAGTCAAGCTCTGGACGCCCCTCCTCAAGACCTCCTCGGCGGGCGTTGGCAACGCCTCGAGTGGCGGCACGCCCGCCTCCGTTGGCCACTCCTACGCCTTCGGCAACACCGAAGAGAAGGCCCGCCGCCTGAACATGGGCTGCAAGGCGCGCGGGCAGCCCGGCCAACCCTTCTCCCACAAGACCGGCCACGGCTACGTCAAGGCGCATCGCGGTTTCTACCACGACGCGATCTTTGTCAAGCGCAACAACTTCAACCTGCTGCTCCACGAGACGTTCGGCGGCGGCTTCTCGCCCACCGCCGTTCTCAAGCTGCGCCGCCTCGCGCGCAAAGTCGCGCGCGGCAGCGTTGACCGCACAGCCTACTCGCCCAAGTACTCGCTCTCTTTTATGTCCCACCATGCAGAGCGCATCTCTCTCTCTGTTGTGCGAGGCGTGAAACCGCGCCATTCGCGCTCACCTGGCAACCCTGTCTGCACGTCTCGCGCGCCCGTGAACAGGGCTCCAGGCCCCAAATGACGTGTGAGTGTTAGTATAGAGTGTGTTAGAGTTGTTTGGTATTGCTAAAAAAAAACACACCACTCCAAGTGCTCCAGACGCAGAGACGAATCCACATCCAGGAATCTCCTCAGTATAGATCATTTGCCGCCCCACAAGCAAAAAAGAATACACAGCTTCAGATTGAAAACTCGATGACGTCATCGGGCCGAGGCGCGAGGGCGGCGGGAGGAACCGGAGGATGAGACGTGGTCGTGCATCGGGCTACTTACTCTTTACACACGAACAGGTAGAAACTCACGTACACGTTTCAGGGAAACGTGAGAGAGAGAGAGAGAGAGTTTTAGCAATACCAAACAACTCTAACACTCACACGTCATTTGGGGCCTGGTGTTGAAACGTGTTGGGAGTTTGTCGTGTTGGTCCCATGACGAACACATTTATCTCCTGTTTTTTTCAAGCCTCCATTCTTCTTTCGCAGGAGTCGCTTAGGCGGCTCCCGTGGTGTACCCGTGTTAGTGCCAAGGCGCGCCAGTCCTGTGCCCTCAAGAAAGAAATAAAACACCTCTGCACGCCTAACAATGTCGGCGAATCCACATCTGGATTGCGAAAGCGAGCACACCGCCAGCAAAACGCCGCGCAAGCCGCACCGCCAACACACCGCCGCGCAAGCCGAGACAGCATGCCCTTTGTCCTCTTTCTTGCCCTGCTTGCGTCCGCCACGGCGGCGCCTACCACGAAAGGCCGGCGCGCGAACGAACAACCCAAAGTTCGTCTGGTTGTCACCGGCGAGACCAACGTGGCGAGGACCACGCGTGGCGCGCGAGCTTCAAACCGGGTGGCGCAGATGGCGGCTATGGGCGGAAACGTCACTATGACAATCCGAGCAGCCCACAACACCTTCACTGTGGTCGAAGTCGCGGACCCCAACGAGGCGCGATTGTTCAAGGAGCAGGCGGAGCGCTCGGGGCTAAGGGTCGAGGAGGATCAGCGGCGCTACCCAGGACCGATCATCTCCGCCACGCGGACGCAGCCGCTAGCCGAGGAAACGCCATGGGGGATCGAGCGTGTGTACAACGGAGCGGTGCCGAACGCCTCCTTCTTCCCGTCGGCGGTGACGCATCCGCTCTGCATCATCGACTCTGGCTACCTGCTCACACACCCTGACCTTCCCTCTGACGCCACCGCGGCGGACCCGCTCCAAGCTGACCCAGCCGGCACGATGTACTTCGGCGGCGACCTCTGCAACCACGGCACGCATGTCCTCATCCTCTCCGCCGCCCCTCTCCGCCGCCATCATTCTCTGCCCGCCGTCTCTCCGCCGCGGCCCCCTTTTCCCCACACTCCTCCTCCATCATCCCCCCCCCCCCCCCCCCGCACGCACGCGCGCGCGCACGCACGCACGCGGAGGTCGGACCCGAGCCGCCGCGTCAGACACGCCTCGCGGCCACGCAGGTACCCGTCCTATACCAACGCCGAGGTCCGCACGGCGCTTGAGGGGGGCGCCGAGGATCTGGGCGAGCCAGGCCGCGACAACCAGTTCGGCCATG